GCCCGGGGGCGCCGGGGCGGGCGCCGGGCGGGCGGGAAGGGTCTTCGCCTTCCTGCCGTCCGGCCGCGGCCCGCCGGGGCCGCCCGGGGCGGGGTCCAGGCCGGGGGGTCGACGGGGGGCGACCGGGGCCGCGAGTCAGGAGGCGGCCGAGCAGTCCCTGTGGGACACAGCCTGGGGACTTACCCCGGGAACTCCTCTCGGGCCCGGAAAGGGGCATGGTCTGTGGGAGTTTATTCCTCGGGGGTCTCTATTCTGGAAACAGAGGATCGAACTGCGGGCATGGCCACCCCAGCTGTGTGTCTGGGCCCCCCTTCTGAGACTAGCGATCCCATCTGTCGAGTGGAGGTGACACTCGGACCTGCCCACCACGGGGGAAGGTCTCAGGGTGCTTGGTTGGTGGGGGTAAACCTGTTAGGAAGTTTCCTTCCTCCTTGCCAGTTCCGATTTGGGGCCTCAGGTCCAGAGTGAAGCGGGGATGTTTCTGACTCTGTCCAGACTTGGAAGCCCTGGATGGGTCAGAGGGCGCCGTGCGGCTTCCCCACCGCACTCCCAGCAGTGCCAGCTGCTGGCCCGGAGCACCTATCTGGAGCTCTCTTGGTTTGCTGTACTTAGGCATCTGTTTGCTTCCAGCATAGTGAAATTCCTTTGGTTTGTTCATGGAAGGCTTTGGCTGGTGACATCGGCTAGGAAATGACTTTTCTCTCCTTAGAAATGACGCAGAAACAGCAGTATTGAGGGATATTAGGGATAGGTTCTTTCTTTTTTTTTTTTTTTTTTTTGTTTTTTTTAGTGAACATCTATGTTAAAGGAGCCAGCGAGATGCTGCAATCCTCTGAGCATGCCGTGGGCACCTACTCAGTGCCGTATTGGAAAAAACCATTTGGAGATGCTGTTAGTGTGTAATGTGGTGGAAGGAGGCGGATCCAGACTTCGGAGAGATGTGGGGTGCACACTCAGTTGGGGAAGACTCTGGCCTGTGAGCTTACTCACAGGACAGCTCCCTGCCTTGCCAGAGCCTGCCTCATCGGCCGGTCTTGCATAGCATGATGTAACTCCGAACGGCTAGGTTTCCCAGCACGCCTGGAGCTTCCTTGCAGGAAGGAAGGCACGGTGGTGGTCTTCACACGTGAGGTCTTGGCCCCGTTTGCTTCTCACTCAGGAAATGAGTGAGCACCTACGTATGGCTGCTGTAGCCAGCATTTGGCCTCTTACTCCACGTGGGCCCCACACCCTCCAAGAGCACTGTGGCAAGGGGCTGTTGATGTGAGTGTTCAGCAGGTTCCGGCTTGGGTGTGGCTTGGCACTGGGTGCCCCCAGGCGAGCCTGGGCTTCCTCTCTCCTGCCCCACATTGCTGGGCAGCAGGAGGGTTCCTGGGAAGTTTGCTGTTGGGCAAGATGACTGCCCAGCTCAGCCTGGTGCTCTCTTCTCCCTTGGATTCATCCTGTTTCCCTCCCACCCTCGCAGCTTCATCCTAGCCCTTCCTTTTCCTTTGCTGAGTCCTGCACTATGCTCTAAATACATCCTGTGTTGCATGCCTGCTCAGGAATGCCCACAGTGACCCTCAACCCCTGAACCCTGCCTCTGCTTTGCCCTCCCTTATGGAACTAAGTCTTTTTTTTTTAAGATGACCGGTAAGGGGATCTTAACCCTTGACTTGGTGTTGTCAGCACCGCGTCACCCAGTGAGCTAACCGGCCATCCCTATATGGCATCCAAACCCGTGGCCTTGGTGTTATCAGCACCACACTCTCCCGAATGAGCCACGGGCCAGCCCCATGGAACTAAGTTTTTTTGAAAACTGGGAGGAAGGTGTGCCAACCTGCTGTGTGGAACAGACCAGACCAGACTCGTTTGCTGGCTAATCCCGCACAGCTTAACTGAGCCCTTCCCGTGCAGGCCCCTGGGGTGGGGGCTACAGCTGGCAGTGAGCAGCCACAACATGGCCCTGCAGCTGCTGGTCAGGCGAGGAGCCGGATCAACCCGGGCTGTGCCGGGGGTGCTCAAGGCAGAGACTCAGGCAGGTCGCCTTCTGATGGGAGGTAGAGGCAGCACTGGTCCCGGGGGGCACGGCTGATCAAGACCAGTGCCTGATGACTTGGGTGGTGAATCCCCCAGGGTCCTCATCCTCCTCTTCTCTGAGCACATCTTTCCCACTGGCCACTTTCTGTTGAAAGACGATTCATGTCTTGCTCTCTATCTTGTCCTGGTCCCCAGTGTTGTCACAGGAGTCATGGGGCTCCAGGGCACCCAGTGCAGTCCCACCCCCTGTTTTACAGGCAGGAAGTAGGAGGGGAGGGCTGAAAGCCGGCCCATGGTTACCATGGCCCAGGTCAGTAGGCAGGACCCGCTGACTCTGTCGTGTTTTTTGTTAAAGCCCCGCCTCTCACCCTATGGTCCTGGCCCTCTCTGTGAGATCATCCCTGCTCCTGTCCTCATCTGGGCCTTGGGGGCTTAGACTCTAGGTGCCCCAGGGAGTGATCCCCAGGGGCCCACCCTGTCCTCTCTCTCCCACACCAGGGTTGCCCCTCCCCTGGCCTGGCTGGCTCTCACCATCATCCCACTCTTGCTGGTGCCCACTGCCAGCACCACTCAGGGCGCAGCAAGGCAGACACCTGCACCCGTCCCTATTGGGAGCAGGCCTCTCACCCCCATTTTCTCTCGCTCTTCTATGGCACTGGCCTGGCCATCCCTGAGACTCATCTAGAGGCATTCCTTCCCCCTTGATCATTTGTTGCCTAGCCCACCCAGGGCTGCCCAGGACAGCCTCTCCTCTAGTGTCCAGGCCTGGCCCGTGCTTCTGTCCTGGACTCATGACCCCTCCGGTGGGGTGACAGGATGGTGTCTCCTGCCTTCCTCCCTTTGATCCTCAGGGCAGCCGTCTCCCACCGGCCTGCACACTCCTCTGCCCACAGCCGGGACTGACTGGAGTGTCCCCAGGGAGGGAGGGTCTTGCTGGTCGGATCCCTGGCAGACTCCTGCCATCTCTGGCCTGGCCACCTGTCCTCGTGTCGATCCTTGTCCAGACACTTGCCTCATCCTCGTCCTCTGTTGGGATGGGGACGCTTTACTGTCCTCTCACAGGTTGCACTACTGTCCCCTTGTCCACTCACCAGGTCTGGATAACCAGCCCTGGTCTCCCTGTCTCTTCCACAGCCTCAGGCCCCCACCAGCAGTTTGCATCACCCCACTCCTGGCCCTGTGGCTCCAAACCTGCTCACCCTCACTCTCCAGCAAACCAGCCTCCATCCTGCATTGCCCATGGCCACTTTCTTTTCCTGGGCCTCTTCCTGTGGTCCCTATCCCTTTGTGAGTCAACCCAGTGCCCACCCCCCCAACACACACCCATCTCCCAGCCCGGCTCAGCTCAGGTGTTGCCAGCCTGTGCCATCCACACCAGACTGCTCAGGAGAGAATGTCCCAGGCCTGCTGGCCCTCCATGTGGTTGGGGCACTTGCCCCTGTCCTCTGTGCACATGGACCCTCCAGGGCATCTTGGTGCTGCCCCTGCCCTGTGTCCCCTGCTCATGCTTCTTGGTTTTGCTGTATCAATGGCACGAGATGCGCCCTCGGCACCAGTGGAGTGGGACTGGCTTCTCTACACATCTGACTCCGTCCTCTTGTCCCTCCTGTCTCCAGGGCTGTCACCGTTCCGGTCCTCCCTAACTCCTTCATGCTAGGTGATATTGGCCCTCCTTGACCCCACCTCATCTCAGCCTCTGTGCCCATCGCCCTGCCTCTCCTCTGCCCCCAGCTGCTTCCTGACCTCCTCAGAGAGGCTTTACCACCAGTGCCGTTCAACAGGTCTCTTGAGGCTCGCGGTGTGCCAGCATTGCTTGGGACACAGATGCCGTGAGCTCGGGCAGTGAGGATGAGTCTCCACTCCCCCAGTGTGGCTGCACTCTGGGGAGATAGGTGCCCTGCAGCTCAAGAGGAGATGGGGCTTCTCCTTGCAGCTATGTCCTGGCCTATCTCAAGGCAGCCAGATAAGATGCCCCCAGGTAGATCAAGCACACACCTGAAAGCAGAGCGCCAGGGGAGGTGGTGTTGGGGGTGCCCTGCCACAGGCTTCCTCTGGGGAAGGAAGTTGTTCCTCCACTGAGTCTGTTGGGCTTGGATGCTTTTTGGCAGCCTTGGGGAGTTCCCTGGAGGGCTGCTCGTCTGGCCGCCTCACAAGCAGAGGCTCTTAGATCTGCTGCCTGTGCTGCCTCGGGGAAGCTGCAGCAGGCCCTGTGTGGTGCCTGGGAGTCTCGGCCATTAGTTCCAGGAGCATTGTGACTGGCTCCCATCCTGTGCACCTGCTGGGGTCTGGGCTGGAGAGTCCTTGGGGGTGGTTGGAAGGATAGGCTGGGCAGGAGCTTGTGCCAGGAGGGCAGATCCCCTATGAGGTCGGCACAAGGCACAGGGACCTTTCCACGTTCAGGCCTGGGGAGCAAGAGTGCCAGGGACACACAGGGATGCAGAAGGGTCCTTATCATTAGGCCTTTCGGATGGAGCCGTACCTCTCATCTAATGACTGTCATGGGAGTGTGGTTGGAGATGAGGTGCTCACCCAAGCTCGGCGTGTGGCAGGGGTTGCAGAGGCCAGCAGTCAGCTCATCTTGCCCAACCTTGACAGACATGGTGACAAGAGGAAGAAAGGCCTGCTGGCCAGTGCTCATCCAGCCCCTGGTCCCCACCCTGTCCTCCATGATGAGTCCCTGGCTCCTGTTGGGTGGGGTGGAGAAGCAGACATAGGTCTCTGCTGCTGGGTACAGTGTGAACACCCATGCATGCTCATGGTCCCTGCTCTCCCTGGCCAGTCCTAAGCTTTCCCAAGCTCATGGCCGTTCTGGTTCCAAATGAAGGCTAAACATAACAGCGATGATCTTGGCATGACCTTTCCCATGGCAAGGCCTTCCTCCTGAGTGTGCTGGTGAGGACTTGGAGCTACTCCAAGGACCCTGAGCTGAGGAACTGGCCAGTGACAGGCTCAGGGGCAGACAGGGGGAGCCAGGTATGGGCTTGATCAGGGAGGGGAGATGGGGTGGAGGTGCCCATGGTGAGAGAGTGCTGGAGGGGAGAGGGGGAGACCTGAGCTTGGGGGGGGTCTGGGACAGGGGTCACAGTCCAGTGTTCAGAGTCTGTGGAGGGCAGAGCAGACTGATGGGTCTTGCCCCCAACCTTTGCAGGAAGGGACGAGAGGGGGTCTTTTGGCATCCAGGCTCCAGCAGGTGCTGGGGACCCCTGAGAAATGAGCCCCAACTGCAGAGATTTCCACACCAGCACCTGCTGAGTGTGCCTTGGCCCATCCCCCTGGTGCCCCACACAGCCCCGAACAACAGGCAGGGAGCAGCCAGCAGTGGGTGACGTGGCTGGCTCAATACAACAGTGCTAGGGAGGAGCCCCCCCACAAAGTGTCATGGAAACAGGGACGAGATGCTAGGTGGAGGGTGGCCAGGCCCTGATGCAGGTCGCCTGATGCTTCCTGGGCTGGTGGCTTTCATTATTTCCTTAGTTGCTGCTTGGAGTGCATGTCCCCACCTTCCCAGGAAAGCCATTCTGTGTTCAACATCCCATGAAGCCCTGGTGTGCTGAGAGCGCTCGGTCTCTGATAGGGCAGGGTCTGCGAGGGCAGGGCAGTGCCCGGGAAACGGAGGAGGCTTGTGGGGCCCACGGGTGGACGTGGCCTGGCTGCCCTTGGTGGAGAGGCCAGGCGTCACATCTCTGTCCCGGCCACCTCAGCTGGGTGGGCTGGGGGTGAGGAGAGGGGCTCCCTGTCTTCTCAGCGTCTGCTGTGTCCGGGCTGGGGGAGCCATCTGTGCCCTGCTGACCACTCCTGCTCGCGTTCGGCTGCAGGTGGTCTTTGGGAGGAAGCTTCCCGCCTTCGCCACAATCCCCCTCCACCAGCTGCAGCATGAGAAGAAGTACGACATCTACTTCGCAGATGGAAAAGTGTTTGCGCTGTACAGGTGAGAGGGGTCCTCATCCCTGGGCCCGAGGGTGTGCAGGTAGCCTCACCTGTGTGGCCCTGGTGATGGGGACAGGCACAGCCTGGCACCTCCAAGCTCCTCACAAACCCAAGGGGGCTGCGTTTCCATCTCCAAACATCCACAGCCCAGCTGTGTGACAGGCGGGTGACTGGGGATGCAGCAACACCCTCCTAGGGTGGCAGTGGAGAACGCAGGTGTTCCCTGGGGGAGCTGTGTGGCGTGCAGCATGTGCTGTCTGGGGCTTTTTTTTTTTTTTTTAAAGATGACAGGTAAGAGGATCTTAACCCTTGACTCAGTGTTGTCAGCACCACGCTCTCCCAAGTGAGCTAACCGGCCATCCCTTTATAGGGATCTGAACCGTGGCCTTGGCATTATTAGCACCATACTCTCCCGAGTGAGCCACAGGCTGACCCTTGTTTGGGGCTGTTTTAGGGCACGTGAGCTCGTGCAAGTCAGGCTCTTAGCCGATGTCCCGAAAATACATTAACAGGCACAGTTGTCACAGGGTGGTGCTTGTCATCTCCTGGCTCAGGGCGAGCCCAGGGCTCCTGACCCCAGGCTGCCATGCAGGCCCTGTCATTGTCTCCCCCTGACGTGGGACCTTGTGGGCAGCCACCTACAGGCAGTGATGCTGAGTGCTGGGATGGTGGCGGCTCCTGTATCTCCCCAGGCAGCTGCTACAGCACGAGTGCCCACGGTGCCCTGAGCTGCCACCCTTTGGCCTCTTCGGGGACCTGGAGCAGCACATGCGGAAGCAGCATGAGCTCTTCTGCTGCAAGCTATGCCTCAAACACCTCAAGGTGCGACCACCATGGACCGGGAGGGCCAGGCTGGGGCCCCGCCCTGCCAAGGGGGCTGTGCAGGGTGTGGCCACACAGCCGGGAGGGCTGGTCCTCTCCTGCCTCTGATCCCGGGTGGCTCAGGGCAGCTGCATGCTGGTCCCCCAGAGACCTCCGGTGCCTCCCAGCACATCTTGGCTGCATGGGCCCACCAGGCTCCCCATTCCAGCACTCTGGGGCAGCCCCGGTGCCGTCAGAGCCCTCTGCTTGTCCCTCACTGCGTTGGTGCTGCCTGTGGGAAGAGGTGGGAGGCCCAGGAGCCCCTACCCTGTGCCCAGCCCTCCGCTCCCTTCAGATCTTCACGTATGAGCGCAAATGGTACTCGCGTAAGGACCTGGCTCAGCATCGCATGCAGGGGGACCTGGATGACACATCACACCGCGGGCACCCACTCTGCAAGTTCTGCGACGAGCGCTACCTGGACAACGACGAGCTGCTCAAGCACCTGCGCCGTGACCACTACTTCTGCCACTTCTGTGACTCGGATGGGGCCCAGGACTACTACAGGTGATCAGTGGGGCAGAGGCGACCCTCCCCCAGGGCACCTGGGCGCTGGCCGGCAGTGCTGATGCCCTGTCCGCCACCAGTGACTACGCATACCTGCGCGAGCACTTCCGGGAGAGGCACTTCCTGTGCGAGGAGGGCCGCTGTAGCACGGAGCAGTTCACACATGCCTTCCGCACCGAGATTGACCTCAAGGCCCACAGGACGGCCTGCCACAGCCGGAGCCGTGCCGAGGCCCGCCAGAACCGCCAGATTGACCTGCAGTTCAGCTACACCCCACGCCACTCGCGCCGGAGCGAAGGTGAGTGGGCGCCAGTGACCTCCAGCCTGGCCTGGCTACCCCTGGGGAGGGATCTGAAGGGCCCACGTGGCCAGCATCCTGCTCTGGAGGCCTCAGACCCAGGTCCAGATCTGCCTCCCTACAGCTCTACCAGGGCTGAGAGGGTTCAGGTGAGCCTATCTCCTGGCCACCTGATGGGCTGTGGGTGCCTGCATGCAGTTGTGGGTACAGGCCACTCCGTGCTCCAGCCTACCTCCTTCAGTGTCTTACATCTGCTGTTCTGGGGTCCCTGGGGCTCCTTCCTGAGTCAGGAGGCTTTATTGAGTGCCTGTTATGTGTAGGTCCTGGTCCAGAGCTATGGGGCCCAGGCTCCTTTCCCATCCCATTGCTTGTTGGGACTTGGTACCCAGGTTGCAGAGATCTGGGGCTGGTGTGGACCCTATAAGGTGTCTGCACCCGTCTCCTGGACTTGAATGCCGTGGGGGCAGGGAAGCCTCTGCCATCTAAGCCTGAGTACTGTCCCAGGGCTGGCCTGGACAGCCGGGCCATCAGTTCTGCTGTCCTCCCAGGGCCTGGGACAGTGACAGGCTTTCTGCTTGCTACAGGGGTCATTGGTGGCGAGGACTATGAGGAGGTGGACAGGTACAACCGCCAGGGCCGAGCGGGCCGGGCCAGCGGGCGTGGAGGCCAGCAGAGTCGCCGAGGCAGCTGGAGGTACAAGAGGTGGGAGGATTTGCTTGCTGCCGACGTTCTTCTGGCCCCTTCCCTGAGGTGGGGCCAGGACTTCTGGGGTCCGGAGTATGGTGACAGACTGCTCAACGTCCTCAGTGAGCAGATGTTTTTTTTTTTTTCTTTCCTCTAGTTTTAGCCAGAGACAACAGGGTTAGGGGTGGGTGACAGGGGCCTGTGTCACTCGGAAGGTGAGTGCAGTTGTGTTGGGAAGCGCCTGTGAGGCAAGTGCGTGTGTAGGCCCCGGCAGGGCAGAGGCATCACGACCCAGGTTCTGCCTCCTGAGGCCGTGGTCCTGGGCCTTGCTCAGCCTGAGGGCTGGCCTCCCCATCCCAGGGAGGAAGAGGACCGAGAAGTGGCAGCTGCCATCCGGGCCTCAGTGGCCACACAGCAGCAGGAGGAGACCCGTAGGAGTGAGGACCAGGAGGACGGCAGTAGGCCCAAGAAGGAGGAGGCAGCGGCACCGGGGCCCATGGAGCCCCAGGGTCCCCGTCGCCTGCCACGGCCTCAGGGTGAAGGCCCGGGTGAGCCATCCCTGCCTGTGGGCAGCTCTGCCCAGGCCCTCAACTGCAAGCTTGACAACAGTCTTACATTCCCCGATCCCCCCCGGGGGCCTGCCCTGCACCCTGACCTAGGGTCCTTTCGCGTTTTGTAGGCCCCAAAGAAGACTCCACAAATGGTCCTGTAAGCCAAGAGATCTCAGCACCAGGCCCAGTCCCCGGGGCCACCCCTTCGAGGTGTGTGTGGGAACTGAGGTGAAGGTGTGGGGCACCTCCAGGTGGGGTTGCAGAGCAGGCCGGGGCCTGGTGAGCCCCTGACTAGCTCTCCCCTACCTGGACTCAGCACCCTCCCGCAGCCCAGCCCAAAGCTCAAGGAGGAAGACTTCCCCTGCCTCTCTGCGTCTGCTTCTTCTTCCTGCTCCACAGCAGCAGCAGCAGGCCCTGTGGGGTTGGCGCTGGCCTACCCCGTTCCTGCCAGGGGCAGGAACACCTTCCAGGAGGAGGATTTCCCTGCCCTGGTGTCTTCAGCGTCCAAGCCCAGCACTGCCCCCACCAGCCTCATCTCAGCCTGGCACAGCAGCTGCAGCAAAAAACTGACCCAGCCCACCCCAGAGGCCCAGGCTACTGGCAGGGGCTGCCAGCCCTCCAGGAAGGCTGGGAAGGGGAGCAGGGGCAGCAGGAAGGGTGGCTCAACCCCTGCTGAGGAGGAGCCACGGAGCGTGCCCACCGTGGCTGCCGTCTCCTCCCTGCTGGGGCCGGCCTCCACCCAGACCTCCACCAGAGTTGGCCGGAAGAAGAAGGTGGGCTCCGAGAAGCCCAGTGCTGCCTCGCCCCCGCCACTGCCCCCTGACCACACCCCAAAACGCCCTGGGGCTGAGCTGGCCCCTGAAGCCCCCGCCACCAGGGCTGAAGGGCCAGCCGTTGTCATCGTCAATGGACACACAGAGGGGCCAGCCCCAGCACGGAGCACCCCCAAGGAACCCCCTGGACTCCCCAGGCCCCTGGGGCCCCTCCCCTGCCCCACACCCCAGGAAGATTTCCCAGCTCTCAGCGGCCCCTGCCCGCCCAGGATGCCCCCTCCCCCAGGTACAGTGCCAGGGGCAGGCCTGCTCCCAGGTATTGGGGAGAGGGCTGGGGAGGTGGAGTCAGGCTAGAGCCCACGGGTGTGAGGTGTTTTCCCAGCTGCAAGACAGCCTGTGGGCCGAGTGCTGGCGCAGGCACCACCATCTGCCAGCTGCCACTCAACCGCTCTGTGCCCCTTTCCTCTCTGTGAAGCAGGTGCTCCCGTGGGCCCGGGTTGGTGTGTGGTGAGGGCGGTGTGTGTGCTGGCCCCAGCCTGCTATGGGGAGGAGGCACGGCCGTGAGCGAAGCCAGGCCTGGAGGGCCGGGCGGCCTGGGGAGGCACAGCCAGAGGGTCATATGCTGGGTCTCGTCACACCACCCCTGTAGGCTTCAACACTGTGCTGCTCCTGAAGGGTGCACCACCCCCACCCCCACCAGGTCTGGTGCCCTCCATCAGCAAGCCACCCCCTGGCTTCTCCGGCCTCCTGCCCAGCCCCCACCCGGCCTGCGTCCCCACCACCACCACCACCACGAAAGCGTAAGTGGGTGGGCTGCAGCCTTGTGCCACCAGGGGAAGGGTGTCCTCACCTGGGCCACCCTAGAGGCTGAAGCCTCCACCTCCTCCTCGTTTCCTGACCCCAGACCCAGGCTGACACCCCCACCCCGGACCTACCTGGTTCCCGAGAACTTCCGGGAGAGGAACCTGTGGCTCATCCAGTCCATCAAGGACTTTCTGCAGAGCGACGAAGCCCGTTTCAGCAAGTTCAAGAGCCACTCGGGGAAGTTCAGACAGGTCAGGCGGGCTGAGGGGTGCGGGGCGACTGGTCTGTGCTTGCCCGGGGCCCAGGCTGGAATGGGAGTAACTAGGTCTGGCCCTCCGGGTGGCAGGGCATAATCTCTGCAGCCCAGTATTACAAGAGTTGCCGGGACCTGCTCGGAGAGAACTTCCAGAAGATCTTTAATGAACTGCTGGTGCTTCTGCCCGACACGGCCAAGCAGCAGGAGCTGCTGTCTGCGCATGTGGACTTCCTCAGCCATGAGAAGCCCCCCAGCACTAAGTCCAAGAAGAACAAGAAGAGTGCGTGGCAGGCCAGTGCCCAGCAGGCGGGCCTGGACTGCTGCGTGTGCCCCACCTGTCAGCAGGTGCTCACACACAATGACATCAGCTGCCACCAGGCACTGCACGCTGCCCGGGATGACGACTTCCCCTCACTGCAGGCAATTGCCAGGATCATCACGTAGCTCCCACCATGTGGGCAGGAGCTGCACACCCATGAGCCTCTCCTTCCTCCTCCGGGCTGCCAGGCAGCCCGGGAAGGCCTGGTGAGGCCCCCTGCAGAGGCCTGTTGTCTGGCTGAGCCCCAAGGGAGTCGCCAGAAGGGCCACCCTGCCCCATAAGCACACTGTCACACAAAGTTCCATCCCCTGCCTTAGCAGTGGGCTGGACTTGGTTTGTAGTCTTGTGCTTTGGAAGGTGTCAGGGGAGGGAAGGGCTGGGATGCCAGGACCTGTCCCTGCTGTCAAAGCCAGAGGCCACTGTGGTCTGATCTGTGCCCTCCTGAGTCTGAGGGTTGCAGCCCCCAGGGTCGAAAGCTGCGGACCCCCTTGTGCTGGAGCCAGGTGTTGAGCGTGTTGTGTAAACAGTTGGTTGTTTCATGTTCAAGAATGTTCAGGATTAAAGGCAGACACGAAGTTGTGCTACTTGAAGTTGAATCTTTTTACAAGACAAGCTGAATCTGGGATCTCAAATTGCTTCTGACCTTTTATAAGACAGTTTATCTTCAAATAAATTTATTTTGCAATACTGCATATAGCTGGTTTTCTGAGCTTCCCTGCCTTCTGAGTGCACCTGAAGCCAGTGGCACTCTGAGACTTTGTCACACGCTGCAGCTCTGGCAAGTCAGCCAGCTGGTGGGTACTGGGGTGGAGAAAGGCCCGTTGGGGAGAGATGGGCAGCTGGGATTTGCTCACGGGAAGAGGCAGCCCATGCAGGCCCCAGTTCTTGGGGGTCTTGCACTGCCCAGGCCTTTCAGGAATGGATATAATCATGTTTGACCTAACACGTGTATCCCTAGTAAAACTATCCTTTGAGAATGTGGGAGTAATACAAAGACTCAAAGTTTATATCCATAGACTGATAAAAGAGCTATTAAAGATATACTCCATTGGGCCGGCCCGTGGCTCACTCGGGAGAGTGCGGTGCTGATAACACCAAGGCCACGGGTTCGGATCCCATATAGGGATGGCTGGTTGGCTCACTGGTTGAGCGTGGTGCTGACAACACCAAGTCAAGGGTTAAGATCCCCTTACCGGTCATCTTTAAAAAAAAAAAAAAAAAAAAGATATACTTCAATAAGATGAATTTAGAAACTGGGGGCATGTCTGAAATACTGTAGGAAAATAATTTGTGATTAATTATTTGGATCTAGTATTAAGTTTGTTTTTGGTGGCTGGCCGGTACCAGGATCAGAACCCTTGACCTTGGTGTTATCAGCACCACACTCTAACCAACTGAGCTAACTGGCCAGCCCTGGATCTAGTATTTTGGAGGGGGACTGGATACACACTGAAACCTGCCCTTTGTGCTCTAAACAGAGAAGGAAAGAAGTTCTCAACACATAGCCACATCAAATAAGGCAAAGAAAACGTCTTCAGAACAGAAGAAACGATGTTTTTCTAAAATAGGAAGAGTCACCTATGGTGAAGAGCCCAGGTCAGTGGCCTGCAGAGGGCCAGGAGGGTCAGAGCCGCATGGCTGCGTTGGCACTGCCTGCCCAAAGCTGAGGATGTGAACAGTGGGATTCCAGTAGTGTCCCCGACTGATGGCCATGCTCTGCCCCACTGGGAGATGAGCACCTTCACCCTCCACTGGGCTGGGCACAGGCCACCTGTGCTCACCACACAGGAGATGCCTCTGGCAGCTGTTGTTCCTGTTTGCAGAGGCTCATAAGGGTCTTGAGCAAGACCAACCCCACAGAAGAGCAGAGCAGTCAGGGAAGCAGGACATCTCATTACAACTAGAAGTAACTACTCTTTTTTTTTTTTTTCCTTTTTGTCTTTTTTCGTGTCTGGCAACGGATCGCAACCCTCAGTGTCGCGCCCGTACCGAACCGGGACCGGCAACGGGATCGCAACCCTCGGTGTTGCGCCCGCACCTCACTCAGCCAGTGAGCGGGAACCGGTCCGTATGTGGGATCCGAACCCTCGGGCAGGAGCGCCGCCGCGCTTCCCAAGCGGCGCACTATCCAGTGCGCCACCGGGCCGGCCCCAGAAGTAACTACTCTTAAAGAAGGGCAAGAAGCAACCACACTAGCACGAGGAAGCACGTCAGCAGTGCTTGCTGTGTGAAAAACCCTCTCAAGCTCAGCTCATCAACCCTCACCCTACTCACCGTGACAGGAACTGTCATCCTCTCACAGAGGGGAAGCTGAGGCACAGCCAGGTTGAGAGGCTTGCCCGGGTGGCTGTGCTAGAAAGTGGCAGAGCTGGCATTCTGGCTCCAGAGGCTGCTCCTAACTGTGCTTCACTCAGCCAGGAGGCGGCGAAAAGAATGCACTAGAAGTCTTAGAAATGAGTGAGTAATCGAGATAAAAATCCCAGTAGATGGGTTGAAAGGTAAACAAGACCAAGCTGGGGAATCTGTCCAGGAGCCAGAGCTGAGAGACAGGAAGGGCAGCTGGCGATGGATGGGGCGGGCCTGATGGGAGTCCAGGAGAAGCAGGCAGTGGGAGGGGTCATCAAGAGGGGTCATGATTGCTTTTCCCAGCACTGAAAAAGGAAGAAACAGGCCATCAAGCACTGAGCAGAATAAATACTTAAAGATCCACATCTGGATATATCAGAACTTGAGAGAAAAGAATCCTAAAAATCATTATCAAGAAAAGACAGATGTTGGGCTGGCCCATGGCTCACTCGGGAGAGTGCAGTGCTGATAACACCAAGGCCACGGGTTCAGATCCTATATAGGGATGGCCGGTTGGCTCACTTGCTGAGCGTGGTGCTGACAACACCAAGTCAAGGGTTGAGATCCCCTTACCAGTTATCTTTATTAAAAAAAAAAAAAAAAAAAAAGACGGATGTATTAGTTGAGGCTCTCCAGAGAGACAGAGTCAATAGGGTATGTTATAAATATATGAGAGGGGACTTATTAGAGGATTAGCTCACACAATTGTGAAGAGAAGTCCCACGATAGGCCGTCTGCCGTCACTATCTTCTCAGTGACGAAGACACAAGGATCACTCAGAGCCCAAATACTTGAAAGCAATGAGAGGCCGAGAGGGACTACACCAAGCTAACTCCCATAAAAAAGGAGAGAGTAGGTGCAACCCCGAGCTCGGGCTTGTCTCGTCTTCTGTTGTAATGTCAAGACTTTGACTATGTAACAATCTAAGTATAGTATCAAAAGAAGTACAAAAAGGAGTGTGTGAACAGGACAGAAAATGATCTCAGTGTTCCCTACTATACAATCAGAACATTTTTGCTGTTTTCAGCACATATAGTTCTGATCCTGTGCACTTAAGGCTTTTGCCCTTTGTGCACTCCCTATCTAATCAGGCCCCTGTGTTCCTACAGTCTGTAAACCAGATGCTGGTAGTGTGGCTCAGTCCAAGTCTGAGGCCTCAAAACCAGGGAAGCTGATGGTGTCCTTGGTGTAAGTCCCAGAACCTAAAAGCTGAAGTCTCGAGCTCTGATGTCCACGGACAGGAGAGAAGAGTACATCCCAGCTCCAGTGGATAGAGAGAGAGCTTCACCTTTTTTCTCTGTCTTTTGTTCTCTCTGGGCCCCCAACGGATTGGATATTTCCTGCCCATACTGACGGTAGGTCTTCCCCATCCAGTCCACTCAGGCTCTCATACTAATCTCTGCTAGAAACACCCTCATAGACACACCTAAAAAGATAGCTTTCCCAGGTTTCTTGGCATTCCTTTATCTAATCAAGTTGACACCTAGAATTAACCTTCACAACAGATAAGCTAGAAAAAATGCACATTGTCCATTTATTATTGCTCTAACCAGCAACATAGAATTCTAGCATGACCCAAGAAGTATCTTCAAAGTGCTAAGAAAAATAACTGACCATTTACATACCCAATAAGACTATCCTTCAAGAATGTGGGATTTCAGGGCTGGACACCTGGCTCAGTTGGTGAGAGTGTGGTGCTGACAACACCAAGGTCCTGGGTTCAATCCCCATACCAGCCAGTCACCAAATTAAAAAAAAAAAAAAAAATGGAATTTCAGTTTACGGACTAAGTAAAAAAACTTAATAATAATAAAAGAACATGGAGTAATGCAATGAGTAAGACTCAGTGAGAAGATTGTTTAAGATATACTCCAACAAAAAGAACAATTTAGAAATGGTGGGATGCAAATCTGTAATTCTGTAAGTAAATAATTTGTGCTTAATTATTTGCATCTAGTACCATGGACAACGCCAACATAAGACTGCGAGGATAAGAACACTTGTCATTCGGGGAATATAGAAATACTGACTAACGGGGCCGGCCCGGTGGCGCACTGGATAGTGCGCCGCTTGGGAAGCGCGGCGGCGCTCCCGCCCGAGGGTTCGGATCCCACATACAGACCGGTTCCCGCTCACTGGCTGAGCGAGGCGCGGGAGCAACGCCAAGGGTTGCACTCCTGTTGCCGGTCCCCGGTCCGGTGCGGGGGCAACACTGAGGGTTGCGATCCGTTGCCGGACACGGAAAAAAAAAAAAAAAGACAGAAATACTGACTAACATTTCTTAAAAAAAAAAAAAAAAAAAAAGGTTAAGTGAGTATATTAAGAATTTAAGAGCTTTAGGGCACTGTATTGTAACACCAAGATCAACAGTTCAGATTCCTGTACTGGTCAGCTGTACCCCCCCCACCCTCCAAAACAAAAACTACTGGAAGAATACATTAGAAACCAATAGGACAAATGTTTTAGTCCGTTTCTGTTGCTTGTTCTTATATATATATTTTTGCTTATAAGAAAATACACATGAGTAGGTAATTTGTAACAAAAAGAAATTTCTTGCAGTTTCAGAGGCTGGAAGTCCAAAATCCAGGGAGCACATCTGGTGAGGGCTTTCTTTAGGGGTGGCTTCAGTGATATCAGGGTATCACATTGTGAGATAGTGGAGCAGAGAGAGCGGTAACTCCTCATGCACTGTCCTTTTAAAGCCCTCAGAATCACACCCCTGACCATTATTAATCCATTCACCACAGCATGGTCCCACCTTTCTATTACCATAATAGTATTTCTCACCCTCTTAACACTGACACAGTGGGAGTCAAGTTTTGGGGGGACACTCAATCCACGGCAACAAAATAGAAAAAAAATAAAGATCAATTTAACAAAGCTAGAAGAAAGGAAAAATATGGTAAGTGGGAAACGCAGAATAAGTGCAAACATCTCAGGAGTGCCCACAACGTAGACAGGTCAAAGTCACCCAGATACATAGTTATCTATTGGGGGGAGTGTTGATGAATAAAATTTCATATTTGAAATTTTAAAGAAGGTTCCAGTTATAGTTATTTATAATAGACACATAAAAAGCAAGAGGACAGAACAGTTGAAAATACAGGAGTGGGAAGATATATCAGGAAAAATACTAACAAAGAAAACTGATGTGCCAATCAATGTTAGTATTGAATAATACAAAATGTGAAAAATTCTGAAAGGACAAAAAGATATTTCACGTTCAAAACAGGCAGCAGGTTCAGGTTCTGGGAGGCTGGAGCAAGCACCATCCATCCACCTCCTGCTGAAGTGGCTGCAGAGCCTGGACCAAAGGCCCAGAGCGGCTGGCGGGGGCACTTAGAGT